CTCTTTGCTTGCCCTCCTCCTCTTTGCTCACTCTTCACTCTTTGCTCACTCTTCACTCTTCCTGAACAAGCCTTGCTTTTATGCCTTTGAGTGTAGAGGTTAGCTCAAAGAGAGAGAGCAAGCAAGCAAGGAAGCATACACATTTCTATGGCCACCTTGACATGGCGTTGAGATTGTTCATGCCAGCCACAATGAGAGACCCATATTGAAGATTGTGGGAGGGGAGCAAACCAAAGAGCAGCCCAAGCAGGTCATGGCCACCAAAGTAGAGTGCGTTTGTCATCTTGATGTAGCACGTCAGGCAAAAGAGCTCCTTGTCTCCTGCATTCACCAAATGGCTGCACTTGAGAAACCATAAGTTGCCAAAAAACAAAATAGAAGGTAAGGTAATGTACTGTTGCTTGAAAAAGCTATATGCCTCATTGAAGTAGGCAAGTGTTCTCAAGCACCAGTAGACAGTGCACCTTGTGTAGAGGATTTGTCCACTGGGCTTGAACACAATGAGGCGGTTGATCTGGTCACTGAAGCGCCACTGGATCAGCTCCTTTGGGCCATTGTCAATGCTGAAGGCAACAGCCTTTGAGTTTGGTCTGTTGCTGTAGAGCTGGAGCCCTTCAGCACTGCCAAGCATGTGTGTTGCACATGCAAGAATGACTTCAGTGTTGAGACTGTGTGTCTCCTGCATACATATATAAACAAACACAATCAGGCGTTAAAAAAAGTGAAGAAGGGAGGACAATACCATGATAAGGCTTGCAGCCTCTGTGATGCCCTCTCCTTTGATTGGCATGTGTGGCTCTTCTCCTTCTCCATGCACCTTGTGTTCTGTGTTGATTGGATCCTCTGTGCTACACACACATGGTGAAGCAGAAGATAAAACAAAATGTATAGATAAACACATACCTCAAGGCAAGCACCTGCAAGCTGGTGCTTGCCTCATACTTGTCATGTGCAAGCTTCCTTTGCATCTCCACCTTCATCTGCTTCTGCTTGTATCTTGAGCAGACAAAGCAATTAACACACATACTCATTGGATCATGTGCTTGATCATTGATGGCACACAAATCAAGGCGTAGAAGGGCCTGCTCTGTTTTATTGAATCAAAGGGTGAAGCTCTCCCTGCCTCTTGAAGAGCCCTACATGCATGGCATTGCCAAGGGTACAAGGAAAAGAAGCTCAGGGCGCCTTGGGCCACTTTCCATGGCAACTTCTTGTCAACATAGGGGCATTCCTCAAATGACTCAGGCAGAGCAGTCATTTTCTATCATCTAAGGTAAATATTCCAAACAGCCTCCTGTGGACCTTCCCTCCACCCACAGAACAAAGCTGTGTGGGTTCCACAGACAAAGAATGTAAAATATTCAAAGCAAAAAAGGGTCCAAAAGAAAAGTGGCTCCATCACAACTGCATTCTTCAAATGTCTCATTCTGCTCACACAATTCACTAACTGGCACAAAAATATTCAAAAAAGCTGCTCCGGTCTGTAGGCAATCCACAGAACTGCCCTGAGGGGAAATACCAACCCTGCTTCTGCAGGCAATCCACAGAACCTCCACAAACCAGGAAATATCCACCCAGGTTTACCTGCATAAAGGCTGGGCACAGCTACAAGATCAGCATTCCACTCTTGCCCCCTGGTGAAGTAGTGGCTACCCCAGACCAGAAGCCCCATCAATCGCCACCATCAACATGAGGAGAACCAGTAGCACACCAATCCACACCTCCAAACACAGTACACTCACAGATCTTCAAATCATTTACACATAATTTTGCTTCTATGTGATTACTAATTTGCTTTATCTTCTAATTGTTAATGAAATAGGCAGTGCAAGGGCCACATCAACAGCATGGTCTATGAATGCCAGTACACATCACTTTTATTTTTCTTTTTTATTCTACACAATTTCTAATTACAAAATTAGGTGGCACTAGGGCCACATCCACAGTCCTCTGAGGTCACAAATGCTGGTATGCCTTGCTTTTATTTTTTAATTTTATTCTACACAATTTCTAATTCTAATTTCATGTTTTACAAAATTAGGAAGTGCTAGGGCCACATCAACAGCACAGTCCTCCAAGGTCACAAACGCCAGTATGCCTCACTTTTATTTTCATTTTTGTACTACATGATTTCTAATTATAATTTCACTGTGTAGAGATTCTTCTTTTCCTGCAGAGGGAGATGGCGAAACTGCAGGAGGAGCAGGATCAACAGACACAGATGCTGCACCTCCTCATGACCAAGCTCAAGCAGACAGAGACAATCATGGACCAGGATGACATTGCTGAG